AGTAAAATTCTGTATCACCAATACAGAACTAACATTAAGAAGCAAAACGAAAACTAAAACTAAAAAAAAACAAAAAATACATAAACGAAATAGAAATCAAAAAGAAAGATAAATGGGGGACAGGGGAATATAAAAAAGAAAAACAAAAAAAAAAGCCTCTATGGGCTGACTAATCTGCCTCTATCAAGAAGTGTTTGTGGTCAAATAGTAAAAATTATATAACTAATGCAACTATAGTATATCTCGATTGTAAAGTTTCACTTTATCTAGAATCTTCTTTCTAACGTATGCACTTTATAAGGACTAATCTAATGATAGTCAAGCTTTCAAGATAATGAAGTATTTAACGTTGAATCATATACTAAAACTAGATCATCAATGTTGATCTTTTCTTTTATAGTACATTGTTGATCGTGAAAATATTTCTACCATTCTCTTAGCTCATAACGATTTACCTGTACCTCTTTCAGTTCATAACTTAAATTTTTTATTTGTAGAGTTCTGAATTCCAACAACTCTTCAGTGGTCCATAACTTTTTTATTATAAATGTTTGATATGTTTCAATAGTCAATTCAATTGGTGTAATCGTATCTCTCCCGTATACAAGTCTGAAAGGCGAGTATCCAAGTTCTCCAACTGTTATATTTATAGACCACACGACCTCTTGTAAATACTCATGCCATCTGTTCTGTTTTTCTGCACACACCTTACGCAAAACCTTAATAAGTTTTTGAATGGTTCTTTCTGCTCTACCATTAGCCTCTGGATGATAACTTGCTGCAAATTATTAATCAATGCCTATTCGCATTGTAAGTTTATTCATTAAGTTATTTTTGAATTCTGTACCTCTGTCAGATACCAATTCAGCAAAACAACCATGTCGGGTAACAACATCATCCCAGATAAATTGAGCGATATTTTTTGCATTTTTCTTTCTAAGTGCTCGAGCCTCAATAAATCTGGTTAAATCTTCTACCACCACTACAATATGCTCATGACCACCACTAGTATGTTGCATTGGGTCTATACAATCTATGAACAATTTATGGAAAATCCAACTAGTAGCTGCAACGTAGATGGGCTCTTTTGGAACTTTGGACTCGCACTTCTGACAGATGATACATAACATCACATAGTTCTTTACATCCTTATACAAATTACCTGATGCCCATTCATAGTTCATCAAAATTTTTCTAACGCAACTGTTAATTCCTTGATGTCCACCTTCTCTAGTAGTGCTCTCATAATTGGCCATCACAATTTTATTTTTTTTCTCTGTATCGAAGATTACATGCCTTGGAGGTTTGCTATTTACAGCTCTGCGATATAATTGGTTGTCTAAAAGGCAATAATGCCTTAACTTTGGGTTCAAACGCCTCAAATCCTCCTTTGTTATATGAGACAGCTACAAAAATGTCTTTAAATATTGTACTATAGCTTTCAAATCATTTAACTTCTGATCATCCACACTCACACTCATTAATAGATTTTCTACATACTCCTTATCTGTTGGGTGTTGTTGTACTGGAGCATTCAGATATCTTGAGATCCCATCTGCATTACTATGTGATTTAACTGACTTATAATGCACGTGAAAATTGAAAATTTGTAGGGCCAAAACCCACTGCATAAGTCATCCCTTTAACACTGCCTTATTAAATAGCCACTCCAATGCATGATGGTCAACCTATATATCAAAAGTTGTTCCCCTACATACCATTCATTCATATTACAACTGAAAACAACGCCTAGGCAATCCTTCTCCGTTATAGTATAATTAATTTCATGTTCATTCAGCTTGCGCGATTCAAATGATACTGGTTGTAATCGATCATTATTGTCCTTTTGTTCCAGAACTACCCCTAGAGACACATCACAGGCATCCGTATATATTTGATAAGATCGTTCTCCACTTTTGGCTTTTTGCCAATCAGATGCCTTTAACAGAACATTATCTACCAACAGTCTCTTTAATTTCTGAAATGACTGCTCAGTGATAGCTGATATTTTGTTTCGTTAGGTTATTTAGTGGCTTTGCCACTTTACTAAAATCCTTAATAAAACAGTGGTAATAATTCATTATACCTAGAAATGACCAAACTTCTGTAAGACAGGTAGGTGTTGCCCATTCAGTAATTCCTTTAATTCGTTTAGAATTCATCTTAATTCCTAACTTACTGATGACAAACCCATACATGCCTAACTCCTTATAAAGCAAATGACATTTCTTTGCTGCAAAAATCAACCCAACTTTCTTAAATTTATTCGCTAGTTGTATGAATGCATCAATATGATCTTTAACTAAACCATTTGTCCATAATCCCACATCATCCTGATAGGTTGCAGTAATATTGCACCATTCATCTCCTTCTAAAACTACATCCATTAGACGTTGAAACATCTCACTGGCGTTCTTCAGACCTATACACATAACTGTATACCTCATTAATCCAATAGGTGTTGCAACGGTAACTTTATCTCTATCCTCTTCTTGGATTTGGATTTGCCAATATCCTTTATACACATCAACTAAGGAGTACCAATTATGCCCTACCGCTTTTTCTAGAACATCACGAATCATCGGCAAAAGGTAACTATCTTTCACTATATATTTGTTTAAAGGCCTCATGTCTCCTACAACCCTTAACTGATCTGTTCCACCTTCTTTCTTATTCACCAGAAAACAGTAATACGCATATTGTCCCTTCCCTTTTTCTAATAACCCATGCTTTACCATTTCTCGAAGTTGATTTCAAATAACATAGCTCTTTCGGGATTATTGATACGAACTAGCCACATTTGGGTTTCTGGTATTACTTTTCCTCTGGTTCATACTTTGTACTCAATTAAATTCGTCTTTCCTATTTCAGAAAGTTCAAAAGCAAATACTTCTGAAACTATCTGAATCAGTTGATTTATTAGGTAAACCTATTTTTCATCGATATTTCAGGATTAATATCCAACATCTTACTATTTTCCACCGTAAGACGCATAATTAAATCTGGGCCCCCAACATTAATGTCTCCTTTATTTTTTTGATTAGCACTCCAGTAAATGATCTGACCACGATGCTTATTCTCTTCAAGTTGATCGTCATCGATCGGTATGAGTTCTTGTAGCATTAATTGATTGCTATTATTAGCCTTGCTGATTATTTCTTTATACTCAGTATTCATCTTTTCTATTTCAGGCTTGTCTATTTGAACCCTCCGCATCAATGGCACATCCATTTCATCATTTTCGTCATCACTCTATACATGGGTGCCTAAATTGCCCATCTTAATAAAAAAGTATTTACGGCATTTAGGCAGCTGAAATTATTCTTATATAGTGCCGAAATTAATTTTCATATTTGCCGAAATTATTGCCGAAATTTTTTTGAACACCTTTCATCAAAATACATCATATAATATAGTTATTTAGATGGGTTTCATATAAAAAATTTAGCAATGCCGAAATGTTTGCCGAAAATACAATTTTTCAAAAATAATTTAGGCACCCATGTATACATCACTCTCAAATTTATCGTCTTTACTATTCCAAGGGTTTGTCCAACTTTCAGGTACAGTGGTGATAACAAATGATACTTCTTTATATCTGGAGGCAATCGAACACCAATACTGATTGTTTCTCCACTTCAAATCACATTTTGCTGCTGCAATCCACGGCATTCCAAGCAACACGTCAAAACTGGCAGAGCCCATAACATAGAAATCTTGCATAACTTTCACCCTTCAGCATCAACTTCTATATTAGGTATGTATCCCAGAAAATTGCTAACACTATCATCGGCCATCCTACCTTTTCCACTAACTGCTCTCCATGCCAATTCTCTTCTTTTTGCATATCTCTTGTGCATCAAATTTAATCGTGATCCGGGGTCGATCAGAGCGTCAGTTCTTTCTCCATTAATTGTTACTACACCCATAGGCACATCGCCATTTTGTTTCATACTTATTGTCTGGATTGTACGAACAATGCTTATGTTCATATGCAACATTGTAACATCATTCTCTTTTCTTTTACGTGTCAATGCCTTTAAGATTTCTGACCTGGCCTTTGGGGACCACTTAAATAGTTGTCTCAGTATCAAAGTTATTTCCATTTCAGCAACTTTTCTTAAAATGTCAAGCTCTTGACTTAACTCTGATAACAGTATGTACATTACAGGGCTCAAAACACATGATTCAACAAGATTACTATCAATTTCATTAATTTTTTCTTTTTTCTTCCTATTTTCATTACCGATTACCTCATCTTCATCGGTACATCGGTACACTTTCTTTTTCTGAGGTCCCAATTTCTTACATTAAATATGGGCTCTCCTTTTACCATCTCAACTTTCAAACATTCAATTCCCAAATTATCTGACCCCGATGTTACTTCAAAATATTGAATGTTTGCATCTTTTATTTCAATAGCTTTATTTCTTGCATCTGTCTGTTTATTCCCTTGTTCAACAGGTAGATTTTGAAGTATTATATTCGGATAGTTGCACGAAATATGCCCTTCCTGTTGACAATTGAAATACCGATGATTATCGACATTCCTCTTTTGGGGCCTTGAGTTTTGCACAGAGTTTGGATTTCTTGAATGAGAGAATACAGAAGATGAGTTATTGCTAGTAAGTTCTTTAACCACTTTCATCAATTTTTTAATATCTGATTCAATCTTATCAATTTTACTATCATTGTTAGGTTCCTGTTTAACCCGATTTATTGTAAGAGCTTCGAGAGAGGCAGTAATGCCTGTCTTACTTGAGTGAGACTTCTCTTCGACCATGAATATTCCTTTTCTGTTATTCCGTTCCCTATCCCTCTGAAAGTTCTCAATTTGTAGCACAGTTCCCTTAGCTTTGGTGAAGTCATCAGGACAAAAGTTTTCTACTTTTAATCTGTAATTTTCCTGCATTCTATCCAAATACCAATCTCATTTCTCATCTACTCTTATCTTGTTTTTTACAGCATCTGCATAGGCTTTGAATCTGCTTGTATAACCTCGTAATGTCTCCTTTTCATCTTGTTTAATATTTTTGAGATGATTTATTTTCAATTTCTCATCACTTCCCGCATTGATTACTTTCACTATTTCATCTTTTAATATGTCTCATTTATTATTACAACCCTTATTAATTCTCTAACCCATGCCTTTGTCTCGTCGGGCATGTACATGACTACCATTCCACATTTTGTTTCTTCATCCCAACCTTTTGATTTAGCATATCTTCCATAATCAAAAAGAAATCTATTGATATCATCCTTTTCATCTCCGTAGAAGAAAGGCTTCGTCAAATCTTTAGACATGCCAACACGCGTGACTTAATATGGTAAGGCAGAAAGTGTGTTTTTGAAACAATGAAATGTATGTATTAATGAATGAAAGTGAGTATATAAGTTGCTTTATTTGTTTTGACAACAGGATCCGAATCTCGGATTTTGTTGGAGTTGTGCAGCTTGATCCTAACGTGAAATGCTTTTTTTTTTTTTGCTACTACTACCGAATTTATGTTCACTCTATGAAACAAATTCTTTGATTGTTGGCGAGATAACTGATGTATATACCCAGGTTCTTGTGTCGCAGTTATATTAGTAACCGAAGTCACTAAACGGATCTTGCTCAAATGGGCACGTAAACAGTACACAAGAAAAAGGTTCAACTTTAGTACTATGGGTCAGTATTTCTTTATTTGATTCGATCGTTTATTTCTTATTAAAGAGGTTCCCCCTAATTTTATTAATTTCGCTTTCTTTATATACCATATTTTTGACTCTACTTAATTACATCATAATTCGATCATACTATCGTATAATCTCTAACTCTTAAATTGATTACACATACTTTACTTTACTTCTTATGCATAATTTATTCTTACTTCGGTAAACTATCCTGTGCTACCGACTATTACATAATTGATCCTATCTTCGATCCCATACTTAAACTTCCGATTGATCTTATGCCAATCACGTGTATCACGTGAATCGTTCGTTTCGAACCTTCCCAACTCAAAGACATATATATACTTTTTTTTTTTTTTTTTCTAATATGTTCATACTATATTTCCTTCCTATTAATCTAGAGATCCAGATCGATCCCTTTGACCAAATACACCGCATACTTATTTTCTCCATGACAATGGCCTTTAAATAACCAAACTGACTACATATTTAATTACAATAGACAACTACCAAATCTATCGCTATCTATCGATCAACTATCCTTCCTGTTATTCATTCTTTTTAACTCCAGCTCTTTCACCAATATTCACCTGCTTACACTCATTATCTCACCGTATCTTCAGCTGTAAACAATCATTCCCGATATCGCTTCATTAACTTTCGAAAGGCACAAGCTAAACATGCCTTTTCTGGCAAACCTACCCAATATTAAGGCCGTTTAATTGTTAAGATCATACCCGCAGCGATAGCTATCGGGCCTGTTTGGGAATGCTATTGATATCACGTCGTGCATCTTACTATCAGTATCGTAACTAATAAGGCAACAGAATTGGGACTGGTATGATACTATCTAATTAGGCAATAAGTATATATGTATGATAATATGCTTCAGGCAATAGCACAAAGATCCGTGGGGTGATCATCCTTCGATCATTCTTAGTCATACGGTTCCAAGGTTCGGGCCGATCTACTGCGGAGTCGTTCGTCACGTTAATCAAGTGCTTTTTTAAGCTGTTGATATGTGACTTGTGACTCTTTAGTAACGTATTCGTATGTCACATGCTAAGAAGGTCCCGATTGGGACAGGGGTCGAATTTATGCTTAACAACGTTTTTAATAAAAAACTTCAAGCGAGGTATCTCAGCAACCACCTGATAAATTTAGATGAATTTTTTTTTTATTTGAATTCTATAGATTCATAAAATTCAAATAAAAAAAAAAAATCGCTGAGAAATCGCTTACAATCACGTACAATTATATACAATCGATGACAATCAATTGCAAGCGAACAATCGGGCATACAGTGATCTACAGATTTTATCAACATCAATTTGCAAACAGCGATAAATTGGCTAAGCCACTGTAGATCATCACTGAATATCGGGTTGTCCACCATGCTGGTATTAACTCTATCTCGAACCAATATCTGCGGTTTTAAACCATGCACAGCCTTTCCATAACAATAGTGTTAACAAATATAGTAAGGAATGTTAATACAATATAGAAAATATAACAAATAAAATTTAAACACCAAAATTTCTACCAATGTACAGTACGTACGTACTGTACGTACATGCCGGGATTGTCAGAATATTGCTATCATGCATATAATTTTCCGAGTACAAAATTCTGTAGGACTATTCTAGAAATCTACTCTTTAGATCATAGAATTTTCTCAAACCTGTAGTGTTTAAATATGAAAATAATTACATGAATCTTAATGTTATATAATTAGCCGTTTTGTTCGCAAGTAAGAATCATAAGTTTAATTTTACTGATAACAAAATTTAATTAGCTGTACAATGTATAATGAAGAAAGCTTGCCAAACAATAATAAGGCCACGCAAAGTTAATTTTTCGTTTTGCATAACATGGTATTTCAAAATTCCGGTCGGCAGGTCGGATTTTTTTTTTTTTTTTTTTTTTTGCATCGAATTTGAGTTTTCGTGTATAAGGAGTCTTTAGCTTCTAGGCCTTCTTGGAAAGACATTTTTACTTGTTTAGATATTATTATTAGAACCAGTTAATGTTATTAATGCATACTTATGCTAGAGATGCCGATCAGAGCCCAAATTAACCGTAATGCGGGCCGTGATCGACAAACGGTTCACTTATGCTAATTCTATAAATATGATATTATGAATAATAGCATTTAAATTATGTAATATTTACAACCTGCATAAAACAAGTTTTTTGCAGCTACAAAATTGCTAAGTACTGAAGTATCAAAAAGACTTGATGCACATGACATGTTCTATGAATATGTTTTTAGATGCACACACTATCCAAATAAGGCAGGGTATTAAGTTTTATTGAAATATGCAGCTAATTATAATAATTAAAAGTGATACGGAGTACGTAT